TACCTTAAAAATCAGTTTAGAGCATGAATTTCTAACATGGTTGAAAGATATCCTCACCCCCACTTTCCAAGAGGTCATTGAATTTGGATAGGAAAAAATGTGCATCTTATTTTTTATAACTAGCTAAATCTATTATTTCTATTATAAATGTATGCAGGAAACCCCAGCTGAGCATACCTATGGCTTTGTGTCACCAGTACAAACCACAGATATTTTCATGCCACATTGTCAGGAGTATCTCAAAACATTTACAGTCATCACTACTTCAAGATTATAGTACTCATTAGACCTGCCTCCTATATTATTATTTAATGCATTAATAAATTGCATGTATATTACTATATCAAAATTGATTTTTAAGTAATTTTATAGTAGCTGGATTTCCATAGGTTTCCTTTATAATTCTGTTTATTTTACTTTATGCATTTAAAACATTCTGAGGAAGGGATCTGTAGGCTTTCATCAGTCAGTGAAAGTGGGGGCAGAGGTTCATGGCACCCAAAAGATTGAGAGCTCTTAGTGTAGAGTGAGTTGCTCCAACCCTCACAACACAACCTCTTAGTGGATGTGACTTAAATACATGTGATGCAGGATTGGTCTCAGTTGGTGGAGTTCCAGTATTTCTTTCCTTCCCCTTCCTAGTCTTGTTCAATTTTAAGTGAGTATTTCATGCTTGTTAATATCTCTTCGGAAGTGTGAGATTATGAAAGGGAGAAAAATCAGCCAGTTACAAAAATTGAACAGCCCTGACCAGTGTGGCTCAGTTGGTTGGGTGTCATCCCACAAAGTAAAAGGTCAGTGATTGATTCCTGGTTAGGGCATGTACAAGAGGCGAAAAAACAAGGGTAGAAAACCAGGAGTTAACTCACATTTAGACTGAATCAGAACGGTGTTGAACCTGTCTTGCATTATTGGTTTTTTTCGTGATGGATGTTGGTAGTAAGATAGAGCTTAAAAAGTATTGGTAGGTAAAGGTTACAGTGTCTAAGACCGAAGTTCATACATCTCTGCAGCTTTGAGAAGTAATCAACAAATTACTGCAGCACCAGAAGGCCTGGTGATTTTAGAGACTCAAGAACTTAGCTTGAGAATATGTGACTGTGTGTTAGGGGTAAGGATGCCTTACTGTTGGACCCTGGTAATTTAGGAGGGGAGTGGGATAAGGAACTGCCTTTAATTGCTGTAAATGAATTGTTAACCACAACACACAAACACATACATCAAAAAAAGAAAGAAGCCAACATGACGTCATTACAATAAGAAATAGAGTGGTATAGGAAATGATAAATAAGAATTGACTGAAGGTAATTTCTTTGGCTCATGGTAGGTTGGGCACTGTTTAAGGATGGGAGGAAGGGGTATCTATAATTTTAAGACTCTGTCTCCATTATAAATGGCAAAATCATACTGTTAAGAATGGTACAAACAGTCCAGCCAGGTGTCTTAGTTGTTTGGAGCGGCATCCTGTACACCAAAAGGTTGTGGGTTTGATTCCTGGTCAGGACACATTGCCTGAGTTATGGGTTTGATCCCAGATTGCAGTGTAATAATGGTACATGTAACTATTAAATGTATGGGGACATTAAAAGGAACATAGCAAAATAGAACTGGGTGGCTGGAACTGTTAGCAGTAGCAACCTGAAAGGGGAGCTTGAGCTAGTTCTTAGAGTTCAACGAGATTATACTGGACCAGGTCCTTGTTTTCTACCCTCCTAAAAAAGAACATAAAAGTTAGGTGATGTCTTGTTAAGAGTAAGTTTAAGACAGTGTCTTGAAAATGTAGATGCTATGAAAATGGGGATATTATAGCACTGAATCAGTGCTTACACTTTTTACTTGTTCAGTGAAGACTGACATTAGTAACTTAAAGATGGCATAGGAAAATAAATTTATCTATTAAAACTGTCATTTTTAAACTTTTATAATTTGTGGCTTATTTGACTCAAAGATGAGTAGGTGCTTGCTCTTGACTTTAAACTTTCAATGAAGGGAGTGTTTCACATGCCCTCTTTTGTTTTTCTTATCTGCCAAATCAAGCACTTAACTATTATTTTACAGCCACCTATTTGGCTTTTCATTCTTTCATTTAGCAAATGTTAACAGAGCATTTCCGGTGTGTAAGGCATTGTGTTGGATCCTGGGAATATAGAGTTGTGAACAAGACAGATACTCAAATCCATAGTCTGAAGGGGAGTACCTACAATAAACAAATATATTGTTATCTGTTACTATTGCCCTAGTCATAGGAATGGAACATAATTGAACGCTTTAATCTGAATTTTGTACGTAATTGTACTGATTTGTTGTTCTTGGAAGTTCTTCGGTCTCATAGCAATACTTAAAAATATTTTATTTCATTCATTTCTTTTTCTAAGACATTTTCATTTTTATAGAGAGACTTCTCAAAAAGAAACCCCTAGCCTCAGATCTGCAGCTGTAATGTGGCACTTGTAATAGGTCCCTGTGCCATTGTTATTCCTTCCCCTACTTCCTGTTTTCATGTTGCATACTAATGCCAAGGCTACTCTAAAATATCGGCTTAATTATATTATGCCCCAGCCACACACTGTTGCTAATTCCCCCAATTATTTAGAGAATTCGAAAGCTCTTCAGCCTGGCATTCGAGAGTGTATAATATAGCCTGAAACTGTCAGTGACTTTGACTCTCCTGTCTTTAGACCTGTTCTTGCCCCTGCAAGGCATTCCCTTTTCTCCCTTCCCTTTCAGTATCTTGTCCCTCCTTCAGGATCTCACCTGTAACAACAGGGTCGTTTTCATGAGACTTCTTTGGACAAATGTAGTTCCCATGGTCTTTTGGTTTTGTGAATTCTGTTAACATTTTTATTGGCCCCAGTGACTTGTGAATGTGTCATCTAACATTTGTGCTTTTATGTGTGTCTTAATTTTTAAACTAGATTTAGTTTGGATGTGGTTTCGGAGAAAAGATAAGAGCAGAGGGCAGGGCCAGGGAGACCTTGCCTTCTCTTAGCATATTTTTCAGACCTTTAGGTACCTCTTTGTAATAGTGAGAAGCTCTCACAATACAAATGGGAAACATAAGAGGTAAAGGTAGAAACTGAGTAAGTAGGGTTTGGTATAAGCAGAAGACTGTTCCTGGCTTCTAATCTGTGTTTAATAATGTCTGGATAAATTAGCTGGAAAGCACAGATGGGGAGGATATGAGCTGTTGGGTTTAGAGAAAATAAGTTATATTGTATATTTCTTGAGAACAAAGGGAAGTCCGAACGTTAGAAACACCTGTCCTTTTTAAGGAGTTGACAGTATCAGTCTACACGGGACAAAAAGCTGATTGTTTTAGAAATGCATGGTTATTCCGTGGAGAAACATGCCTTGGGAACATTTATTTTTTAGCTGTTTTTTATGGATTACCTTTTGACCTTGAGAATGGTGGGTAGGTATGTCTTAAACACTTAGGCAAATGAAGGAGGAAAAGGTGCAAAATAAAACCTTGATTTTTTTAAAACTGTGGTTTTGAATTCATCTAATTCTGATTTCTAATATAGGAGTATTCTGTTTAGGCTTATTTTGCGGATGACTTCTCAAAATGTGCTTTTTGAAATCATGTAATTGCATGAAGATATGAAGCATGAATTTATGTTTTTTATATTTTGGGTTTGGACTTGGGCTTAGATGGATGGTTGTAAAATTTGCTTGTTTATTGTACTTTGTCGGTGAGCCGTTGGTGCAGATCTGCTGATAAAGAAACAAGATCTGGTCTTACAGAAGTGATACATACTTTGCCTTTCACCTTTGACTTTTTGTGCCTTCCTCTCACTACCTCCACTCTTTCTGGATTTGGTATTCTTATGTAGAATAATTTGTCTTTTTAATAACCTGGATAAATTAGATTTATATTAAATATTTGCTATAACTCTTATTATTGCGTATTTATATTGGCAAGGACTGATTTTGAAGTTTCTCACAGTTCTCTAGCACAGATTTGTCTCTGCCATTAAGTAATGTAAGAGGAAAGGTGGGGGCAAAGGAAAGGAGAACATAACCTGTTCAATTTGTTCTTCGTTTGCTTTTTAATATAATGTTTTATCCACATCTTCCTATTTCACCACTGCAAGCTTCTTCTTTCAAGTAAATGTTGGAATAAATGTGAAATGTTGAATTCCCATATGAAAAATAAGGATGGAAGAGAGAAAATTATAGAGCATCTTTGCACAGCAGGTTCAGGAATAACATTTTGTTCAGTGTCACTTTGTTAAAACATTGATGAGACACAGAAGAAACTGTCTCAGCTAGCCTATGGTGAAATTTGTATCATTATATTTTGTTTTGCTGATTCACTTACAAAGTCACAACCTATTGTTGGTGTTAAGTGAGGGCTTACACAGTTTTGAGTACTGTACAGACAGAACAGTTTCTGCCAGTCACACATCTGTTGCTTTTAGGCTAGTAGGCAAACTTTCTAGAAGGTTAAGTAGAAACTCTTTTTCCTAACAAGATACCTTTTTCTACAGTGAAATGAATTCATTTTGTGTGTTTGGCAGCAGTTAATCATGTATCATGTTTGTGGAGTAATTTTCAAAAATGGTTGAAGCTAAAGTGTAGAAAGGAACATGAACTTGCTAAGCCTAGTTCTGTTGCCTGTGGAAATTAGGCTCTTCCATGGGATCACAAGGAAAGCATTCCAAGGACCCACACATGGGAGCTTGTGGTGTGGCATGGGTTAGTCATGTGGAAAGAGAGGCTTCTCTCTGGGTTTCCAGTGTCCCATCTCTGTCCGTCCACCGTGAAAAAAGTCCTGCCATGTCTTCAGAAGCACCAATACAAAAGCCAGTGTCCAGAGTGGTTTTTTTGTTCCCCTGGGGTTATAACCAAGAGCTTGGTTTGGGATAGACTAGGTGCTTTCTCAAAATTACCAGTCAACTTCTAGAAAACAGAATTATTAAAGTATTAAGTAACCATGTTCTAGTTTGGTTTCTAGAATAGAACCATATTCTATTTCCCTTTCCTCTTTTGTTGACTAGGTGGTATGGCCAGGAAAAAGACTACAATGTTCTAGTCATGGATCTTCTTGGACCCAGCCTCGAAGACCTCTTCAATTTCTGTTCCAGAAGGTTCACAATGAAAACAGTACTTATGTTAGCTGACCAGGTATGTGAAATTTGATGAGAATTAAAACTTGAGAAAACAACTGTTCCACTATGTAACTATAATTTAAATGTTTATAAACCTGTGTGTCGCTGTTTAACCTTAGAATCAGCAAAGAAAGATAAAATAGTAGGATGTACTCATTCAGGTGTACTTACTCCAGTAACGATTTACAGATGTTTAATTATGGGTATAGGGCAAAAAGATTATATTACTCACCTGTACACAAGTAGTTTTCAGGTTTACTCTGTCAGAGGTAGTGCATATGTTTTAGTGCTCAATGTAGGAAGTTTCCTGAAAAGATTGTTTGAAGAAAGGTTTTCACAGTACGTGAGGAAAATAAAGCACTGAAATAATTTAATCAAGAAAGAAATTTTGACCAAATGGAACTTTTCTGAAGCAGTAGAAAATTCAGCCATTGGTAGTATCTAAACAAAATCAGAAGTTTTGGAGATGTCATGAACTCGATTCATGTGTTGGCCAATGGTTAGATTAAAATGTTTTAAAGCCAGAGCTTAGATTTTTCTTTTATCAAAAGAAAATTTGGCCCTGGCTGGTGTAGCTCACTGGATTGAGCATGGTTCTGTGAAGCAAAGGATTGTGGTTCAATTCCCAGTCGGGGCACATGCCTGGGTTGTGGACACATGAAAGGCAACCACACAATGATGTTTCTCTCCCTCTCTCCTTCCTCCTCCTCTCTCTGAAAATAAATAAGTAAAAAATATATATATATATTTTAAAGAAAATTTGTCTTAAACAGCTAAGAGAAATGAGGTCAGAGCATAAACCTCGAGGAAACAGATAATACAGAAAAACGTAGTATGTAAATGTCGAGGAATTTATCATTTAAAATTTTGGTCACAATCCCTTTAATGGCAGGAAAGTGTTGAAATGATTCAGGTTAACTCAGTGTTTACAAAAGTGCTGTGGAAGAGAAAAAACATTTTTTTAAATTTAGATCAGATATTATAAGAAAGTAAAAAGAGGTAATAAGCAAAAGTAACATTTGAGGTAGAATTTTAGGAAGTACACATTTAAAGGATTAGAAAGTAATGCTCATTTTTTTGCTAATCAGCACCTCATATTCCCTAAGTTTAACATGTTAGCAGATGACAGTATTTTTACTTGTCGCACATTATGGACTCAAATATTAAAGGGTTAAAAACCTTTTAATATGTTTTAACTAATATGTGAATGAATCTTGATAAAAGTGTTATATTCTGTAGGCTCAGTGACACATTGGCATTTATCCAGTGAAACATTTATGTAGGGCGTCTACTGTAATTAGGTAGCACTAGGAAGAAGGGTATAGGGAAACACAGCTAGTCCCTTCTTTCGACGAGTTTGGAGTTTAGTAGAGAAAAATGTGTTAAAAGTCTATTCTGGGTACACTGGTCACAAGGGAGAAAGAATTAATTCAGGATTGCAGGAAACATTTGTTCTAGGAGGTAGCAGCTAAGTCTTGCTCTGTAGACGATAGGCAGCCCTTAATCTGTAGTTTGTGCCAGTAACTGTCATTTTCCCAGTGAGTTAATAATCACAGTTTAATGATGGGTATTATATAGCTAGGACAAATGTGTGCATTAAGTGAGCTAAATATCTTGTTTTACTTCCTTAACGCACAAGTTGCTGCTGTATCTAAGGTGATATTTGGACACGTACCTTCTTGAGAGCATGAATTGTATAAGTCAGATTATATAGATTCAGCATCAGGAGACATTTCTCAAGTTAGGGCTACTAAGATTTAGAATATTTATATCCATGGTAATAAAAGGTGTGGGGAAAGGGGGACAAATACAAAATAGAATCTTGACACGTAGTACTGAAAAAGCAAGAACACATGGGGAGAAAAATAATGTGGGCAGTCATTGGATATGGAAAATATGGTCAGATACAGTTTCTAAGTATCTTACAGAAAAGGTAGGCATATTTGATCATGGTAGGCATATTTGGTCATTTGAAAATTAAAATTATTTTGAAAGATACCATAAGTACTTGAAAGACGGGTTTTGAAAAACTGATGAGAACAAGTCAAAAGAATAATGTATAAAAATACATATATTGACAGTTTATAGAATAGAGAATTGGAATGGTATGGATGAGCAGATTTCCAAACTAAGTATTAGGGCAGCACAAGTGAGGTAATAAATGGGCAAAATTTAGAAAAAACTGAAATCACTGCACTAGTGAGGAAGAGAATACTCTCAAATGTTCCTAGTGGAAAAACTAATTGTTAGTAACCTGTTTCGAAAGGCACCTATCAAAATAAGAAAATAATAGCCTTTATTAGTCCAGCAACTGTCCCTGTAATTGTGGGGGACTTAGAGCTTATGGAAATAAAAGCACTAGTGGGCAGGCTATATTTAAATTTATTGGTAGCATTACTGCTTACAGTGGGGAAATACTGGAAACAGTGGGAAGGTTGTGGGTTGGGGGTGATTGGGGAAAACTCATCTATACCGTAAAATATTTGTAGCCATTAAAAAGAATGCTAAGACCTACTCCATTTGACTTGGCAGAATTTTCAGGAAAAACTTGTCAGAATGACATGTTAACTATTCAGTTTTTGAATATATATGTCTTATAAGTGTGGAGACAAAATGGGGAGTCCAAAAACATGCAGAACAAAGGAAACCAGCATGTGTAGATCCTCGTTTGTGTAAACGTTATATGCTTACTTTACGTGCTGCAAACTTCAGGAAGGTTTTGGACATATGTAATTAAAAATAAATAAGCAAACAAGAATAAAGTGAATAAAATGCTTCTATTTCCATTTAAAACAGTAACAACTTATAGCTATATTTGTCAATTGATGAAGACCTCTTAATCCCCAGTGTATGTCCGAGTTGATGTGTGTACATATGCAGGAGTGTAGAAATAGATATGGGTGTTACCAGGCTGTTTTAACACGGGTTACCTCAGGGGACATAGGATAGGGAGTAAAAAGTAATGATTTAGTTTTTATTTTATATAATGATTACAATAATGGCCACAATTCTAAACTTTTGCTTTTGCAATTTAAAAATTGCCAACACCAGTTCTTGTTGGGTTAGATGCTGCCTTATTTAAATCATTAATATTGGAAGAACAAGTCAAAGGATGTGGGTTTATACTTGGATATCCATCAGTCTAGAGATAAATGGAGAACCTGATTGCCCTTTTCATTTAATTTTGTCTTACACTGTCTTTGTAAACTATGAAGTTATTAAAATATACCTGTGATCTTGAAAAATAATTGAGATACTGAAGTAATTGATAAGTAATATCTTGCTTTCTTTAATTACTAAATTCGAATGACTTAATTTAATTGTCTCTCCCCTTTTTCTTTCCCCAGATGATCAGTAGAATTGAATATGTGCATACAAAGAATTTTATACACAGAGACATTAAACCAGATAACTTCCTAATGGGTATTGGGCGTCACTGTAATAAGGTTAGTCGAATGTTATTTGCATGAAAGAACAAAGAGTAGAAAACTTCAAGAATTGCTTTGGTAAACTTTGGATCTTCAAAAAGTCATAGTGAATTTAATTTGCTGTTGATAATTGCTTTTAAAGATTGTACTGGAAGGATAATCAGCCAACTCTTTTAACTTAGTAACTTGAAATAAATTCTCTCCAACTACCCAACCAAGGTTAGTTATCTTTGTGGAAGTATAAAATTCCCAGGGGCTTTATAATGAAATACAATCATCTGTTACTTAACTGTCGAACAGTTTTAGTTACTTTTTATTCATACCTGCTTGTGCCAGTGTGGGAACCACTGACCTATCTGCCACCATGGTGTTAATATTTGCTGACTGAGCATGGTTGATAATGAGAATTCTTCAGTCCTTGGATTTGTGTATTCAAAGGGATAACTTTTGGGTTTGTTTCAAAAGTAGTTGACAGTTTCTTGGGTGATGAGTTGGGTGGGTTCTTCATTCCTTCTTCACCCCGCCTTTCAAAGGAAGATATTAATAAGTGAAATGAACCAACTTAGTGTTCACTGGGGTATCAGAATGGTTGAACTTTATGGGATGATTGGGTTTTTAGCTAGTGACGCATGATTGCAGTTAGAAACTAACTGTGTTGAATTTTTTCTGCAATGATTAGTGTATTGAGTGAACTGTTTTATTTATCAATTGATTCATTGTTGAGCTCGGGCAGACAGGCAGCATTGGCAATGCACTAAGCATATTATGCTCTAATGATCTGATAGGAATTCTCAACTTCAGGACAACTTGGGGACTTTTTGTTTTTTATGGTTTTTTTGTTATGTTTTGGATGGAAGATTCCCATTTGTTTTTATTAAACTGTTAGGAAATGTTTGGTGTTTTTAGGTCTAGCTATAAATGTTTACCTTTGTTTGCCTGTATGAATGCCAACTTGGAGCTGTTACCATTAGAACTGGTGTTATTTGTTAATGTGTGAGACATTAATGTTGGTCTGACCAAGTTCTAGGAAACTAAGTTTTTTTTGTTGAAAGCTGAGCTAAATATTTTTTTAAATGTGCTTAAATCTTACAACTTATCTTGCCATTCCCAAATTGCATCTTTTTAAAAAATATTATGTAGCTTCTTTGAAGCTTCCAGGTTCTTAATTGTTATTGCAAAACCTGGTGATTTAATTAGGAAAAAAAACACTGGTCTTAATTTGGGGGGCAATTTTGTCAGTTTGACCCTAATCTTTTGGCCATTTCCCAGCTTCCTCCTTTTCATTTCCCCCCCCCCCCACTTAAGATCTGTTATCCTCATGCGATCCCTATTCGGTGTGTTGAAATTTCAGGACATAGTTTATGCCTTAAAATTAAATGATGGCCTAGATAATACCTCTTTGCTTCTTCCCTCCCCCTTTAAAAATAGTTTGTTAATCACATAGTTGTGTTAGGATGTCCAGATTGCCTGGTGATGAAAGTCTATAGAATACTGTGGAGCTGCTTGCTGTTACACAGAGTCAGAGAGCCCCTAGGGCAAGAAGCGCACTGTTTTAACTAAGACTCAAATTCTAAATGTTGTTCTTGAACATTTTAGATTAGTGTTTTGTTTATGTAGTTGGTTTTTAGTGTTTTCTGTATTGTAGTTTGAAAAATGCCAGTTGTATGAGACTGGATTCTTTGGTCAGCTTGTTCAGTAGTTTTCTATTTTTTGGAAAACAAAGTTGGGGGGGGGGCTTTCAAGGTTGATTTTTGAAGTCAAATTCTTATTTTGAAAATTGTTCTGAATTTGATGTTTAGGAGTAGCCACTCCAGTCTTAGTGAATTTGCTCATCTCTTCCAGTAATCAGCCCTGCATGCTTATGAAAATAAATTTTAAGGTGACTAAATGCCTTCTACCTCTTCCTTACTGAAGATTTTCCCCCCTATACAATGTTTTTTGGGGGAAGGGCAGATTATGGTACTAAAGATTGCAGATCCAAATTCCCCATTTTTGGTTTTATAAATTAAAGAGCCAAATGTCACCATTGCTATCCCTGTTTCAGGCAGTGACACATTATAGTGGCATTAAAAACCTGAGTATTTTCCAGAATTCAAATGTTCTTGAGCATGTGATTTTTATTTGGAAAACTGAGAAGCTCAGTGCTTGGTGGAAGAAGGATGGCATTTGGCTACCCTGTTCTTTCTCTAATGCCTCGGTGTTGCCTGTCTGCGCCGGCCATTGTTGCAATGTAAGCAATACTGTTTGATGCACTGCCACCCTCTATTGTCTGTTTAGTGTTTAGAATCTCCAGTGGGGAAGAGGAAAAGAAGCATGACTGTTAGTACTTCTCAGGACCCATCTTTCTCAGGATTAAACCAGGTCTGAAACTGTCTCCTATTCCAACCTCAATCCCAAATTCATGTGCTTTTCTTTTTTTATTGTTTTATTTTGATTATTTTTGTTTTGTTTTAATTCTGGAGAATGTAGATCTTGCTCAAGCACCTCTTACGTTGGCATTATTCAGACATACTTGGCAAACATAACATTACTAAGATGTTTCTTTGTGGCTTTTGCTTAAACTTCTAAAGTTTAGAGGAAACCTAAATGAAAACTGGATTATGTTTAGATCTTCAGTGTCCATATGAGGAAGTGATGTATTAGTCTAGTATGGAAATTCTTTACCTGATGGTAAACTGAAGATAGACTGTTTAGTTTTTTTTAATGTATTTGGAGTTGCAGAACTTAATGCATGAAATACATCTAAATTCAGCTGCAGCAGTACCATATGGTGAATAAATCGTGCCTTAACTCTCTTGCCCTTCCTTAATGAACTTTAAGTAAGTATAGGTCAGATTTCAGGTCTAGTGTTTCTAGAATTGATTTACCTCAATAAGAACACTGTATGCTCTGGAAATAGAAGACATTGCATTCTCAAAATAACAATAACATTAACAATTGCCATTTAGTAACATACAAATTAAAGTATAAGCTGATGGTAGGTAAAATTTTTGAGGCTCTAGAGCAAATGAATGAATCTAGTATACACTGAGAAGTGTACACTGAGTGTATACTTTCAATTTAGTATGCACTGAGAAGAAAGTATTGCCATGAATAATTTAAAAAGAAAAAACTATTTGATATGTAAACATGTTACAGTTTCTTAATATCTAGATGATCATTTAATTTTTGTCCATACTGTCCAGCATTATTCTAGGGACCACTTCCCATCATTACAAAGGTTTCATAAGTTTACACTTACTTTTATGCATAGACAGAATAAAATATTAAATATTTCTAATATTTTTATTAAAAAATAAAAATATTCTGACAGAATAGTTGGTATCTAGTAAGTACCAACTATAGTTACCAGATTTAGGTTACAGAAAAAAGGAGAGTGGTGGGTAATGAGGCAATTCTAATGCAGTTCTGGTGCTGCTTTCTTATCCATTCATTGACACATTTGACCTACATTTTGTACCGTAATCATTTTATATTTCCATTAAATTTGCATTGAATTGTTTATATTCTCTACAGGTTAGCTGGGTCGTGAGGAAAAGTGATCTTGTGAATTCTTTGGAGGGGCAGGGGAATGTGACCCCCAGGTTAGGAGAAAAATTTGCTGCAAATATAACCTAAAATGGCAATAGTGTTTCTGAAGACAGTGCACCTCTATGGCATGGCATTACCCTGTATATCCAATATTACTTATTTCCACATGCCTTTGAGGAATAGGCTGTATTCTTTAAGACAGGCACAAATTATTCTTAGAACATATCTTTAAAGCCCACAGAAAAGCAGCTTGACCCACCAAAAATATTAGGCCTCTCTTTAAAGCTACAAACCTATAAAAATACATAACTTATAGCTTAAGTAAAATCGACTTACTTGTTTATTCTACTTTTACATATTTTTGACTGTTCACATCTTTGTTACCATGCAGTTTCGTGTGCACGCTTCCATTATATGTTTACATTCCTTTTAAAATTCAAAGCATAGAGAGCTATTAATGAAGCTTGATAGTACCAGAAAATGAACAATTACCAAGAAATTTAAAGAACTTTTTTTACATAGTTTTTCTTTAAATTGTTTGCTCTTGAAATAGGATACCTTTGTTTGCCAGTGGCATTACTTTTCCTGACTCAGTTTTTACGAGAACAGAAAATTTTAAACTAATTTAATTTGCTTTGTACGTATTTTGATACCAAAGACTGAGATGTGTTTGTATGTTTTTTTTTGTTTTCTTCATTTGATTTCATCCTTTAGAGTTGTGGTAGGAAAAAACTAGTGAACAGTTTAATAACGCAGTCTTTTAGTTGTGAGAAACTGGTTATAGAATTGCACATGGAGCTACTGATTGTAGACTTAGGCATGAATAAAGCTGTCGGACCTGATCATGCTGGAGATGGGCCTGTTTTCTCCTCCACTTTGAGTACTAAAGGAAGCAATCCCAGAAAATATCCCTAAAAGGAGATTGTATGTTTTCATTACTTTTTAAAACCCACATAATTCTTAGGGATATTTTTTAAATACCTTGAAGCTGGGTGTCCTTTTATGTTTATTTTTCCTTTGGTTGAATTTTTAATATGAATCTGCAGAGCTTAAGTTATAACTTTTGCTTAACAAATACATTTTGTTTATTTTAATATTTGTGTACTAAGCCAGTATTCATAGCAAGAGAAAATAGTATGAACTTTTATTTAGTGTTTTATAACATTTTCTTGTATTCCTGTAACTCAGTTGCTTAGGAAGTTTCAAGTTTTAAGAGAGCTTTCTTAATTCAGTCAGTACATTTTACTAAAATTTAGTCTTTATTATTTTATAATATTAGACCAAGTACATAAGTATCAATTAGACATTGTTAACATGGTCACAGAAGCTCAAACCTCAGTGCGTTTTCAGCCAGCTTGTAATAAAGACTACACCAACAGCGCCTGCCGGAAGAAGGTGTTTTTCACCCTCCTAAGAGAGATCTTCTTTACCTAAGTTAATAGCTTGCTTTATTTTTTTGACAAACACCCTAACAGACTAGGTAATCAGGTTTTCCAGCACATAACAGATTATAAACTGGCTGAAGGGACCCAGTATCAACTTAATGGAAAAATCTACAAAATTTAGGCCTAACTAGTAAAGAACAATAATCTAAGATGATGTTAGTATTTAGTATGTAAGGGCATATAGACTTGCTTTGCTTAGTGATCTTAATGTGATTTCATGATAAAGGCTAAACTTTTAAGTAAATGTTGTTTATTTTGCATTTAGAAGGTAGGTAAATGTGTGAACATGTTTTGGGTTTTATTTGTTTATTTTGGTTAGGCTATTTAGACTGCTAATTGTAGGCCGCCTTGATGTTAAGTACTTTTTCACGTAGTAAAGATTGTTAGATCAGCTTGTTACAGTTTCCAGATATTTAACCTGATCCCATGCGTAAATGTCACTTCAAAATAATAGAATGTAATACCTGTTTGTTTTTTAAAATGCTTATATTTTAATAAAAATCTTGTTTTGTCATTTTCAAACTTTGAGAGCTGTCTTGTTTACCAATGGTAGCAGGATCTCAGTTTTTATTGTGGCAACTCTGCTGTCGAGCAGAGAGATATGTATTTTAACACTGCTTGTCTAAAGACAGGCTCCTGGGTGTGTAATGAATGAACTGGGCCTGTGAAATTGTTCAGTTGACATGATCAACCAACCACTTGACCTAACTTTTTTTTTTTAACTTGATGATTTATTAATAAGGACTAGTAAAAGCTTATTTGAGTGTTAAGTTTGTTCATTATCTGTTCTACTTAGGATACTTTATTTTGATATATTTGAACAAAGAAAATAGATGCCATTTAATGAATAAAAAGTATTGTAAATAAACAAGGTTGGAAACCTAATGTCTTTTAATTTTTTTTTTAAGTTATTCCTTATTGATTTTGGTTTGGCCAAAAAGTACAGAGACAACAGGACAAGGCAACATATACCATACAGAGAAGATAAAAATCTCACCGGCACTGCCCGGTATGCTAGCATCAATGCACATCTTGGTATTGAACAGAGGTGAGTTGGACACCTGAATATGTTAATCAAATTCGTAACAAAAGCCATTAGAGGGTCTTTACAGTATTTCAATTAATTTCTCACAATATCTAAAGATGTCTCTTGGCTGAGGATTTGAAGGATGCTTATTAATTCCTTTATCTGGTGCTTTAGCCAGTTCAGAGAAGCCAATTAAATGAGGCCTTTTTGTTTTCCTTGTTGAAGGTTCTCTTGGGAAGAAAAGTATTGCATGATGAAAAGTGAGATATGTAAATGCAGTTTATCATGATGTTTGTTTTTGCAGCTGAAGACAGTACTTATTTTCTTAAAGCTGGTCTTGGGCTTTTTATATTCTAGTGATGTAAGTTGAGTTTGGGGGAAGAATGTATTGATTATTTTTACGGGGCTGGAAGAATGTGTTATCTGAGTACTGATGAACCAGAGGAGGTTGGTGGGTCATTTCCAGTCCCACTCCTCCGTAAATTAGCAAATAGCATCCTGTTTGAAGTGAATCTTCATCATCTGTCTGCCTTGTTTCTTGTCTTAAGTTCTGTTTTCATGTTCCCTTCGTCTTTGTTAAGTCATCTGTTGCTGCTTAAAACAAGCATAGAAGTGACAGATGATATGCTTCCAGGTTAAGGAACCTCATAAGAAGGTTTTAAGTTGAGAAAATATCTAAATGAATATCTAAATACCCTGGGTTTAACTATAATTTCACATTTTCTGTAGTTCAAAGTATTACCAGTTAAATACATGTATCTGCCTGAATATACATACATAATGTCCAGCTGACCCTTAAACAACTCAGGTTTGAACTGCTCTGGGTCAATTGAATTGTGGTCAATGGAAAAAAGTCAGCATGTAAGTGGAGCCTTGCATTTCAAACCTGTGTTGTTCAAGGGTCAACTGTGAGCGAGTGAGTGAGCGAGTGATCATTCATATTTAAAACGTTAGTTTATGTCAGCATCCCTAAAGTTATTTTTCATGAACTTCCACAGAACTTGCATGTATCATGGTTCTTCTGTCTTCATGAACCTTTTTTGGAAAGTTTGGTTAAATCTTTTTTGCTCTTTTTTAAAAATTAAGTTATAAGACAGTATTAGGTTTTATAATTTTGAATTCTGTGAGAGATTTTATTTAGAAGTAACCCATTATGAACTTTTTTATTACCTTAACTATTTTGCATAAGACACCAAATTTTTCTCTCCTCACGAAAATTTCTTTTTGTGTACCTGGCTTTCTTTCACATGTTTTCCATAATAATTTCAGCTTGTAAATATGCATTTTCTTTTCTAGTCGCCGAGATGACATGGAATCATTAGGATATGTTTTGATGTATTTTAATAGAACCAGCCTGCCATGGCAAGGACTAAAGGTAAACCAGACTCAAATTACCAGGTTTTTGTTCTGTTTTAAGAGTTGTATATACACACATGTATGTATGTATATATGTATATATATGTATATTTAAAGATTTTATTTATGTTTAGAGAGGGAGGAGGGAGAGAGAAAGAGGGAGGGAAACATCAATGTGTGGTTGCTTCCCACACGCCCCCCACTGGGGACCCAGCCTGCAACCCAGGCGTGTGCCCTGACTGGGAATCGAACCAGCGACCCTTTGGTTCTCAGGCTGGCGCTCAATCCACTGAGCCACACCATCCAGGGCAAACATTTTTCTCTTTTGTTAAATCTAACACATTTGTTGATCAACCAATCATTCTTATATATATATATATATATATATATATATATATATATATATATATATATATATATTTAGTATTTTGTTTTTTTTTTTAATCTTTAAAGGGAGAGAAACAGTCAATGTATGGTTGCCTCTCATGTGCCCCATACTAGGAACTGGCCACAACTCAGGCATGTGCCCTGACTGGGAATAAAACTGTGACTCTGGTTCACAGGCCCACGCTCAATCCACTGAGCTACACCAGCCAGGGCAGAATAAAAATATATTTTTCAAGAAGATTTGTAAGGTCTCTTTCAGATATGAGGTGTTCTAAAAGTTAATTAACTTTACCTTTTATTGGGAAGTAAAATCTGATCATTTCAGCTAAAATAAACTAATAGAATCCTACAGTCACACCTGAAGAACAATTTTTGGGAGGTAGTAAGCAGGTGCCCATTGGCAACCAATAGCTTTCTCTGGGTAGATGCTAGCATGGGCTAAGAAATTGGGTGGAGACTTTCTTGTTTTGATGTGTTGCTGTTTTGTTTAAAATATCTGCTTTTGTGTACAGGAAAACTGGTTTAGCCAGTGACACTAGCTATATTGTTTAATTATTCTAACATTTCTCTTGTGAGTATTGTGTTAATGGTAAATCTCCATATCCTAGAATTAAATGGCTATTTTGATATTAAAAAAAAACATTTTGACTTAATATCAGTTGTTAATGGCGCTAAATGATAGACAACATTTTTTTTTTTTTTTTTTTTTGTAATTGACTTGCTCATACATTTTTGCCCTTGTGTTGACTATGGGTCAAGAAAAATCTCCAGTTGGACGCCACCCATGTTTTACTTAACTCATACATCTTGATATTGCTATTAGATGCACCCTTTCCTAATAGCTAAAAATGATCTTAAGGTAGAAACTCATAAAAAAAATTAACAATTTAGGAGGGGAAATTTAGACATTATTATTTGGGTTCAGGTTTTTGTTTATGACCTTTTAAATCGTAAGTTTACATTTATATCTAGTATGTTCAATTACTGGGGTTCATATACTACTGAGTATATCTGGGTGGTTTGATTCTTTTTCACAGGCTGCAACAAAGAAACAAAAATATGAAAAGATTAGTGAAAAGAAGATGTCCACTCCTGTTGAAGTTTTATGTAAGGTGGGTGTGCATGATGAAATTTTTGCTTTTTAATAAAAATGATCCAAGAACAAAAAGAAATGCTTCAGGTGTCAGTGCTGGTACTTAAACCTCCTTTTAGGAGCTAGCCATTTGCCATTAAGTGTTTTATTGTTTCTGGTTTATTTGGGCTCTGTCATCTGCTAAAAGTTACAGGAAGAATAAGAGAGCAAATAAACTTTTCTAATAGAACCTCACTAATTTATGAGGGATTAAATTTAAAAATGTTCTCTTTATCTCTATCTGGTGCCAGAAAAGAAGGGATAACGCTGGAGAGGGCATGTGAGTTGAGGATGGAGAGCCGTCTGTACCATCGTGGGTAGCTGTGGTTTTCCACAGAGTGGTGTTTGAGTCCATTGAACACCTGAAATAATGAGAAAATAGTAGGTAATTACCTAGTTGGATGATAGAAAGTAGAAATCAGCATGAGTTGAAATAGTGCTCTGGAAAGGGGATAAATAGTGATGTCTTTACGTGTCCCCATCCACAAATTGGCTTTTTTTCCTCTTTTCTACATATCTGCAATAAAGGAATGGATGGAGTGAGAAACTTACGATCTTTTCTGAGACCCCTTGGGATTTGTTTCAAATTATCAAATACATTTTAGGTTAATGAGCAAATGTTCTTATATTATAATTCACACTAGTAACTTTAAAATCTGTATACTTCAAGAGGGAAAATAATCATATTTTCTATAGACTACATTTCCACGTAACAGAAAGATTCATTTCACTTATCAGAAAAGTCAGCCATTTTTACAGGAAGAGAAAGGATTTAGTACAGTCTCTGCTTGTGGGCTCTGTCTTCATTTTGATGTAGAAATTGTGAACTGTGTCTTTCTGTGTTAGCCACATATAAATCGGTGCCGTAAACTCAGGAATATTAGGTATCACTATAAAATAGTGAGAATGTTTTCAGTCTCATGATCAGTTGAACTTATTTCACATCTGTAATGCTTATAAGATTGGTAGATATCTTTTGTTAAGGTTTTGCCTGTAAGGGCCATTTCACTTGGTAATTGCTGTTTACCAGTAGTAAATTACTATTTACCAGTAGTAAATAGACCATGAACGCATATTAAAATTTTTTGAAGATTTTATTTATTTTTAGAGAAAGGGAGAGAAACATCAGTGTGTGAGAGCTATATCCAGATGTATCTATCAGTTTCCTCACACACCCCATGAGGGGAACCTGGCTGACACCCTAGGCAGGTGCATGATCCAGCGACTTTTGTTTTACAGGCCAGCGGTCAATCCACTGAGCCACACCAGCCAGGGCAAAAAAAGATACATATTTTCTCTACATGTATTAAATGATACTGTAATAATCAAGAGGTCAGAACAGTAAAAAAATGTTTTAATTTATAAGGACACTGAGTCAGTTCTTTTACTTTCAGGTTATCCAATAAAGTAGTAAACATTTTCCTCAAATACATATTTTTCTTGCATTTAGATACAAGAAATACATTTCTTTTTCTATCTTGAAATAAGACCTTTTTTTTTTAACTTGGTGTTTTAACCTTTGAACTTACAGGGGTTTCCTGCAGAATTTGCCATGTACTTAAACTATTGTCGGGGGCTGCGCTTTGAGGAAGCCCCGGATTACATGTATCTGAGGCAGCTATTCCGCATTCTTTTCAGGTCAGTTTTGAAGGTATTTTAAGACTATAAACTCCAGTGAGGGTAGTTAGTTCAATTTACTCAACATCTATCTAACAAGTGTCAAGGTAAAGTGGGCCTGGACAATATGAATAAAATTTTAAGAAATGGTTTTTGGGTTTGTTTGTTTGTTTATTATTTTTGTTCTAGATTTTTGGGGGGATGAGGGGTTTGGCTTGTTTCCATTTGTGATGTAAATGTGCTTGAAATCATTTTAGTTTGGGATAGAGAAACAATTGAATCAAGCTCAAAGTAGAATCTAACTTTTCCACAATAATTGCATTTCACATTAGAAATAAGTGACATTGGTGGCCTTTGGAAGTTTCCAGCTTTTATACAGAACTTCAATACCCAAATGAGAAGAAATTAAAATTTCAGTATGGGGGCAGGCCCGGCCCCTTGCATTCCCTAGGTGCAACCCAGAATTGGTCTTGGGAGGTAGGGTGATAAGAGTACTCGGGGTTTGAAATCTTGGTTGGAAAAGAATAATTGGAGGTGCTTCTCCAACCCTAGAAAAGTCTTGCCCCCAGCATAGCTGTGTCCCTCATAAACTTACAGTCCCATTCCTGCTTGATTCGGTTTTAGGGTGCCTCCTATTATGATCATCTGCACAAGATAATTGTCAGTGTTTGTTGTCCATGCTGCCTTCCATTCCTACCCTCTTTACCCCTTTTAAGAAAGTTTAAAGGCAGTTTGTTTTTGTTTTTTTGAAAGGGGGGGGTAGGGTTTATTATTATTATTTTTTTTTAATTTAGTTATTTTTCAAGTACAGTTTTTTGTCTATTTTTCCCATCCCAGCCTCCCCTACCCCTTGCTCCCCACCTCCCTCCCATTTCCACCCCCCTTAGTTCTCAAGTTTATTCTTACCAGATATAGCAGACCAAAGCGGCACCATCATTCCCCCCAATCGTGACATGTAAAAAGAATCGATTAACTGAATAGGAGAGAGTACTCATTTCCTTTAAAAAAAAAAACGGTGTCACTTTCTTGAAAGTTCAGTAGTGTATTAAACTAGAATCTCACTGAAGGATTAACATAGAATTTTACTGCGCTCCCAGGACCCTGAACCACCAGTATGACTACACGTTTGACTGGACAATGTTAAAGCAGAAAGCAGCGCAACAGGCAGCCTCTTCGAGTGGGCAGGGTCAGCAGGCCCAAACCCCCACAGGCAAGCAAACTGACAAAACCAAGAGTAACATGAAAGGTTAGTAGCCAAGAGCCAAGTGACGTTACAGGGGGAAAAAATTGAACACAAAATTGGGTCATTCATTCATTTTTAACAGTGTTAGATCGAGGAGGTGGTTGTAAAATAACAAAAATTTGGCTTTTTGTTTAAAAAAAAAAAAGACGTCCTTGGAAAATTTGACTACTAACTTTAAACCCAAATGTCCTTCTTCATATATATGTATTTGTATATACATATATGTGCATATATTATATCATTTCTCTTGGGATTTTGAGTCATTTTTAACAACTGCATCTTTTTTACTCATTCATTAACTCTTTCCAAAATAAACATTTGGTGTTGGGAATATGGTATAATCAATCAATCCAAAATCCTAGACCTAACACTTGTTGATTTTTAATAATGAAGCTGGTTAGCCATGATGTCTTGACTTTCTTTCAGACTAACAGTGTTAAGAATTTTTTCTGCATGTTAATACTTTAGCATTTAAAATGGAATATTGTGAACATGATCTAATTTCAAGAAGTGAGCCTGGCATTGCCCCCAGGGTGTCTATCTTCTCAATTACAGAGCATCTGCTGTAAGCTCGCACATGCTCAAGTAACTGAAAAGCTCGGCACATCTTTCCTAGTCAAAAATAAAACAGTCTCTTCCAGTTGATACTTAATTGCATATGTTCTTTATTCCAAAGTTGTTCTTTTGTTTTGGGCTTTATTTTTCTAAATCTTGCTACTATTTAGCATCTAGAGGTCCATCATAGAATTGAATTCTGCAGTTAGGCTTTGCAAAATTAAAAAACAAAACTGGGGCAGATGCCATTGAACTGCTAGTCTGTTTCCTTTCTTTCTCCGGCACTCTCTCGGTGCTGTGGGAGTGGAACTGTTAGGGCACAGCTCCATTTCTGATTACTGTTGCCATACAGTTCAACTCCTGTGTTTCGTGGTTTTTTTCTCTGTCTCCCCTCCCCCCCTTCTGGGGCTTAACTCCCAATACCTGCCTACTTTTTAGAAGTGGTGGGCAGGTAAGTTTTGGTTTTCAGTTTCTAATTCCTTAGTTTCTGAATGACTGCTCTAGTCTGAACTTGGTCTTCTTTGGTCCGTATTTTTAGTGTTGTGTTTAAACTATTTTGTGATATAAAAATAGGCTCTAATCCAAGAATGCTTTACAAGATGTATAATTAACTGATGTCATCCTCATCCCAGCAGCTCATCTACTTAGGAATGAAATTGAGATGCTTCCTGGTTTCTGTGTTTGGGGAGGATTCACAGTTCAGGGTTTAATGTAGCAAGGGTTCTAAGATGGTAAAATTTGAACTCAGGGTAGCAAATACTAATGCTTGCCTGGTATTCTGTGTACACATCTCCATTGGGACTGAGTTGCACCTTTTGAGTGTTTTAATCACCCTATAGCTAATCACAGTGCCAAGAAAGTAGAAGAAATGTCCCTCCTATAGGTAAGACAACATAGTCTCTAAACCGGGGCTTACTACACCTGATACCTATGGTATGTTTGCTTTTCCTTGTGAAATGAAACCAAGTTTTGCTTAAAGCTAGCTGGGATAATAGGATCATCATGAGTTGCAATTTCTAGAACTAAAATTAGATTGAAATCTCAGCTGACCTAGAACATTTCACTTCAGGCATTCAGCAGCCTTCAGAAAGAATTATGCCTTATTTTGAGCTGGTTTTATTGTTAGTTTACTATGTGTTTCTTACTCAATAAACAAGCAGAATTTTTGTCCTATCCTCTCCAGGTCTTAAAGATGAGAAGTTGGATCCACTGAGTTAGTATGTTTCCTTGGGGAAAAAAATTAAACTTAAGTTTAATCCTTACTTTGTATTGTAGCTGTTTTTCATAAAAGCAACTTAAAATCTTAAGAAAAATCTCATAGCATCATTAGACACAGAGGTTATACAAATTATTACATTATGTGCACTTGTACTGTTTTGGGAAAATTGGGCTTTTCCTGAAATACCTCACATATCATTGACTACTTTTAGAGATGCATATCCAGGCAGTAGTATAATCGGACTCTAAGCAAAATATTGCTTGCAACTAAAATGTGCCACTCCTCAGAATACAATCAAAATTCTTTTTGATCTCTGACTTCTTGAACACATTTATTTTGAATATAGAACTTAGTGCCCCAAGAAAATTTTACATGGAACCCCTGTAATATAAAACCATGAATTTTTGTGGGTTTGAGGACGGCATGAAATGAGTATGAGGACCCAGTTCCCCTAACACTTACCCCAACCCCGTTTTCTGGGTCATCCCTTTAAGAAACCTATGGAGTCTGGGGTTTGAAAACCAGTCTGGATTACTTATTCCTGATTCCAATCTCTCAATTGAATGGATGTTTAAAAGCTACAGTTTTTTATTCAAGGAATAGTTCGTGTAGCTCAATTATTTATTGATTCCCAGAAATCCTTTCAGTGATGCTAATGACACCATATTACATTTTTCTAGTTAAAATTTTAGAAGGTGTCTTTTTAAATCCATCATATCATTTGTTATGCAGAGAGTTACACTTTCACATTAGAGAATTTAAGGTGTTTGTTTTGGTTTGGTTTTAAGATTTTATTTATTTTTAGAGAGGGAGAGAAACATCAGTGTGTGGTTGGTTGCCTCTTGTGCGCCCCCAACTCAGGACCTGGCCCATAACCCAGTCATGTACCCTGACTGGGAATCGAACCAATAACCCTTTGGTTCACAGGCCGGTGCTCAATCCACTGAGCCACACCAGCCGGGGCCAGAGAATTTAGTTTCTTAAATGAATCTCCAGCAAGCAGATTTCTGTATCACAGGAATATCCTTCCTGGGAAAAATCCCCCAAATGCTGGCATTCACTAGTATGTTTTATGTGATTATTTTTATTTATTTATTTTTAAGGAATTTTTTTTTTTTTTTTTTTTTTTTTTTTGTAAGAGAAGGGGGGAGGGAAGGAAATATCAGTCAGTTGGTTCTCACACACACCCAACTGGGGACCTGGCTTGCAACCCAGGAATGTGCTCCAGTTGGGAATCAGACCAGCAATCTTTAAGTTCGCAGCACTCAATCCACTGAAACCACACCGGCCAGGGCTGATTATTTTTATTTTTGAAAAATGTGTACCTAATGTTTCTTCGTGGAAAACTATAATAATAAGCCCTAGCAATTCACTAAAACTGCCCACAAAGACATTTTAAAGTCTGGCTTAATTCAGCCAAGACAGGTTTATTATATGTCATAGGTGTCTGCCCTAATTGCTTTTCTAAAGAAACTGTCTTTTGAAATGTTCCATTCCAAAGCCCATTAAAATAATTTAAAAAAAGGAACAAGGTATTTCTCCTAATGCCCACTGTGTTCTGTACTAGTTTTCAGTGTTTTGGTACCACATGATTATAATTACTATTTTCATATGTGTTAAAAAAATATTTACATCTGGCACACTTCCAGATCAGTTTTAGTTTCTTTTCAACTATACATGATTACTAGAAAAGTACTTTTCAAGGCATTTAAGAAGTAAAGAAGGGAATATTTTTAAGGCATTTATAATCCAATTAAGTTCATCATTTCTTTAGTTAAGGACAGAGATGGGAAGATTTCAGAAGGTACTAAAACCAAAGGTTGATCCTCACATAAGTCTGCTATTCTCATCAACCCATCTATCTGTTCACTGTTTCAGCCATTATTAGTAAGCATAGTTTTGTCATAAGTACCTGGGTATCAAATTGTTGGCATTCAAAAGATTAGAAATAGTTTCCCATCACATGTCCATGGTCTTCCTTGAATTACCTTCCAGTATTTGCTGGGCTTCACCTACCATTTATGTCTAGCTTAACTTTTTCTGACTTCACCAATTGCTGCTAGGAACGTGGCTGGTCCCTTAGCAACGTAACTCAAATCACAGGGGAAGACCTTGAAATATCTGGAGCGACTGATCTGCTCTGAATACACTCAGTGTCAGAGAAGCACCAGGGAGCTGCATCTGCTTGCTGAAATTTTTGTCAGCTTTTTTTCACTATGGACAATAAAGCTGGAGAGAAGAACTAAATTACCCAACAGGAAATGAAGATGAGTGTGCAAGAGTTGATCTGTGGTGATCTGAAGCCCACATCTTCAAGGCTTGCTTGACCTGTCAGACTTGGCACCTTGTCAGATTTCCTGGATGGTACAGCAGTCCAGAAGACCCAGAAGAGTACAGTGTGGCTGTGGCTCAGTGGTGTATAATGCAGACCGTCTACTGGTTGGGGAAGGAATCAGTTGTTACAGGTATTTTAAAATTCAGCAATCTCAAATCTGTAGCAGAACTAATAATGTGATAGGAAAGACATACGATCACCAGTCTGTTTTTCTGATGCAGTTCAGGGATGATGTGCTCCTGCTATACTTAAATGGTAATTTATCTTCTCTGTAGTGATAAAAATAAAATATCTTCCCTTTATCTTACCTTTTCCTAATTTGATACTTTTATGTAAAGAAGGAATTCCGAGTTAGTGGGTTTTTTTCTTTTTTAACTTTCATACTGCCAGTCTGCTTTCAAATTCTATCAGATTGATTCTGATCCTAAGTGACAAAAAAAACACAAGTGTGAAATAGGAAAAGTTAATATAAATGGCATTACATGTGATGAATATGAATATTAAATTACTTTTTAAAAGTTCATGTCTTACACTGTGAAGGAATTCTACATTTCAAAAGCCCATCATAAACTTTCAAGCCTTATTGTTACCATATAAATATCCCTTTGAAGTAACTTGTGGTTCTATTTTTTTTTTAAACTGGGACATCTGAATTTAATTTACAAATAATCAGATACATACTTTTCAGATTGACAGGTAGAATCTCCTGATTAATTATATAAAATAAACATTCTTTTTTCTTTTGCAGATTTGAAAAGAAACTTAAATGTAGCTATTAACTCCTAAATTTGTCATGATAATCCTCAGGCCTCTTTTTTTTTTTTTTTTTAACTTTTTTTTTCCTCCTCCTCCTTTTAGGAACAAAGGAATCCACTTCTTATTTTAGCTGTTGTTGCAGTGAAGATGGGTTTTTGGACTTGTAGAAGCCGGGAGACACCACCTAAAGTACAAGATAAAAACCAAGCTCTAATGCACACCGGGGAAAAGAACACTTAATTTGAAGATTGAATGTCAGAAACCTCCTGGATGCTCCTATTGAGATTTTTTTTTTTTCTCAAGAAACCTCAGTAACATCCTAGGACAATTCCCTGGAGATACATCGATTTCCTAGGCGGAGTGTCCTGCCTACCACTGGCTAATCTGATCTGGATTTGACTGCTGTTCTACCCGGAATATTGTTAGGCTAACCTTTAACTAGTCTGTAAACAATTGTAATCATTAGTTGACCTAGGAATTCTTTAAATCTGATTAAAAGATGCACAGATAAAATTCTTACCTAGATAATTTTTATCCCTGTTAAAGACACACAAGAGTTTCTTAATATTTTGACTCCAGTGTAATTTGTATTTCCTTTTTAGTTTATTAGTGATGATGGTTTCCATTTAAAGCTCTTTGGATATTCAACATAGTAATTATTCTATATAATTGTGTAAGCTGTGATAATAGAAAAAAACCAACAAATTTAGTAGTAGTTGGGAAAACTTTTTATTTGTATTTAAGAATAATTGCAGTACTTGAAAACAAGTGCTTATCAGGGTAAAGTTCATTTCTATTTAGCTAAAGTTGGAATTAGATTACAGAATATAGTCAGATTTTTAAAAATCAGGTGTGATTTAAAAGTTCTTTTTATGGCTTCCCTTGCTAGTACTATTTAGTAATGCATATCAATACATATCAATACGATAATATTCCTTGTGGTGAAGTACATTTTCAGAAAGTTTCCTTCTTTTATTTTTGGCTTTTTGCTTTATCACCTATGGCAACATAGGTATATTCTGTACCTAATCTTAAATTTGGTATTATCTTTGGAAAAAGGGCATATGATATAGACAGGAACATAAATTATAGAAGCATTTTATTTATCCCACAAAGCTCATTGGAGATGGTCCACAAACGTTTGAGAAGTACCAAAAAAGAGGTAGTTTATTATTGAGAAAAACATGGTTTGTTCTAAGCAAGTGAGAGATCAGAGTGGGCTAGAATAAACTATTAATAGAGGGGCTATAAGAGTTCAGAAGGGGGTGGGCCAAGGGGCATCAATGCCTTGAAGGAGAGGAGAGGGCATTGATGGTTTTTATGTTACTCCTGAGACAGGTCTGTGTCCTCTCTCTTTAGCCATAGGGTAAATTCACCTGAATTCTTTATTCAGCCGAGCCCTAACATGAAGCCCTACCAGGGCTGTCCATCCTGTGGCCCTTGAGCTGCATGCACCCAAGATGGCTATTAATACGGCCCAACACAAAATTGTAAATTCACCTAAAACATTACGAGATTTTTTGTGTGGTTATGTGTCATGCTGTATTTAATGTGTGGCTCCAGACAACTCTTCTTCCAGTGTGGGCCAGAGATGCCAAAAGGATGGACACCCCTGCTAGAGTCTTAATTATGGCTGAGGAGAGAGTGTTTGCAGGGTGGGAGGGCTTGAGAAGTAAATAAAGCTAAAAAAAATAACTCTTTACATTTTCCAATCCATGGAAATGGAAACCTAACCTTTTTAACGTAAGCTGGTGGAAGTAAAGAATTTTTGAAGTCATGAGGTCTTCTGTGTAAAAAGTCATAATTTTGTGTTCGGTGGAATAACTCAGATAATTAATGCCTTGAATACACTTACTAGAATTTATTGTTCCTTTATTTGTATCAGAAATAGTGTGCAAAAAAGTCCCAGACTCAGAGTATGATTGAACTAAACCTCCCACTTGCTGGAGCAATCTGTTGTTCATCAGTTTGACAGATAGTCGAACACAGTATGTTCTAGGCACTGAAGATACCGAAGTAAACAAAACAGGCATGTGATCACCACTGCTGGTCTAGCTTGGGCATCGTATGCTGACTGGAGTTCACTGTATACCCTTCCTACCTAGACGTCTCCAGAACAGAAAGTGTCTTGTTTTTCTGTTTTAAAAAATTGAGCTAGTGATTTTCAAATAGATGAAAATCGCCTGAGTCACACACAATTATTAGCCTACTTTACCCAAAATTTTTTTTTGGGGGGGTGTCATTTTAAACTTTTTTTAAGTTGGCATTTTAACCATTTTTTCCTGTTTTCTTTTTGAACAGGTTTCTAAGCATGAATCAAGGAACAGAAGAAGCAGTGCAGATGATCGGAGCAGCATTTGTTTCTCCCCAAATCTAGAAATTTTAGTTCATATGTACACTAGCCAGTGGTTGTGGACAACCATTTACTTGGTGTAAAGAACTTAATTTCAGTATAAACTGGCTCTGGGCAGCATTGGTGATGCTGGGTCCCGAGTTGTAGCTGCTGTTAATTGTGAATATTAACTGAGATAGTGAAACATGGTGTCCAGTTTTCTATTGCATTTTTTCAAGTGGAAAAGTTAACTAAATGGTTGACACACACAAATTGGTGGAGAAATTGTGCATATGCCAATTTTTTTTTGTTAAAAATCTTTTACTTTGAACTATACTGCTTTGAGATCTCATTTCAGAAGAACGGCATGAACAGTCTTCAGCCACAGTTGTGATGGTTGTAAATGCTCACAATTGTGTATTCTTAGGGTTTATCCACCCCTGGGGTTTGCAAGTTGTTCACTTAAAACATTCTTAAAATGGTTGGCTTCTTGTTTGCAAGCCAGCTGATACGGTAGCAACCAAAGATTCCAGTGTTTGAGCATATGAAAGACTGCCTGCTTACCTGTGCTAGAGATAACAGCATCTAAAAGTGAAGACTTAAGAAAAACTTAGTGACTACTAGATTATTCTTAGGACTCTGCATTAACTCTATAATGTTATTGGTATTAAAAAACATATTTGTCACACAAAATTAGTTAACATCTTAAAACTGAACATGTATGTATGTTGCTTAGATAAATGTAATCACTGTAAACATCTATATGACCTGGGATTTTGTTTTTATTTTGAAATGGGAGCTTTTTTGTTTACAAGTTCATTAAAAACTATAAACTTTCTGTAAGGAAATGAGGTTTTTTTTAAACAACAACAAAAAAAATGCCTTGCTGACTCACTCTGAAATCAAAATCTCCCCAATTTTTTAATAGACTACTTCGAGCCATTTGTTACATAATACTTCTTCGCAAATCATTTTAGGTTTAGTGTTATAACTTTTCCTCAATTTTTTAAAATTGAAAATTGCTTTTGTCTGGAGGAGAAAGGCATTGTTTCGTTTTTCTTTTTCTAATGACTCGCAGGCCAAACGCCTGGTGCTGCGATTGCTAGGGCTTGGCGTTGGGAGTCTGCAGCCTCAGACTAACCACGGCTGGACTGATTTCGAGTAGGAATGAAAGCGTTAAAGGGTTTAACTGCAGAAGGAAGGTTTCCTTTCCATTTCTTTTTAATTGGCTTTGAGCAGGTTGGCTCAGTCTTGGGGAGCTTCACACCGGGTGATTGCTGACCCCTCCCCTGACCCGTTTCTGTAAGTTTTCTGCATTTCCCTCTCTCAGTCTTACAATACTGCTCTTTTCTTTTTATGGCCCAAGAGAAAGAGTTATTGACAATGTTTTAAATACTGTAATTTATTCATTTATATCATGTCAGAATAAATTCAAAAGAACTTTTGTGTGAAAATGCTGCCAGGAGCCTGTTGTGTAAAAATGTAGGTATTTTGTAAAATAACCTTGGAACTGTCAATTGACACTTGTTTGGTCAGATTGTGTCAAGCTTCATTTTCCTTTTTTTTTTTTAATTTGAAAACTACTTTAGCAATAATTAATTCCGCAATGACTACATTCTGCCATTAAAGACATAGTAGCACCATCACACTGCAGAAACAATGAGTACGAGTTTGGGGCGGGCAGCTTTGTTTCTTTCCTACCACCGTGTCAGTTAAGGTGTTTGTTTCTTGACTAATAAACCCTTTGATACTTTTAGCCAGAAATCAGTCTCATAAAGCTATTTTTGAGTATAGTTTGTGTAAAATAAAAATGTTTAGCTTTGGTAATAACTTTTCCAAGCTGAACTCCCTCTAGCAAGATATTTTTCAGTGCTTTTATTTACTATGCACTTAGACTATGCACTTTTTCTGAAATATTTTTGTAACACTTAACTTTTTTGTATTTTTGCCATTTGAAAAGGTGTGGTGTAGCTGGTCTGTAATTAAGTTGCAGATTTGTAACTGCTGTTAGCTTTGTAAATCAAATATAGGTGTTTTGTCCTAGTATATCGTCATTCCGTCTGCAGCTGGAGCTGGGATCCCATTGATCTTCTAGCTACCATTCATTCTCTTCACAGTTCACAAGAGAAGAATGTGAAATTCAGTGAATGCTGTTTACTAATCCTGTCGGGAGATGAATCTCATTTCACCAAAATTAAATTATGTTTTTCCACTAAAATGATGATACAAGTTGAAGACACATCACTCTGAAATTGGAAGACCTCACCACTTAAGGCTCCACAGTGGCTTACTCAGCTGAACTCTAGGTTATTGCTATTCACTTCGTTCACCCAATTGAGGGGGTACAGTTTTTTAAAATGTTGGGAGATGGCCATTCTAACTACTGTTGAATGTCTCTGTTTTGGGAAGGTATAACAAGAAAATAAAAAAAATATATATGAAGGGAGAGGCTGGTTATCTCCTCCCATGTGAGTGTGCTTATGCTCCTAAGGTCTACAAACGGAATTGCGCGGGGGCGTTGCTTTTACTGTTTTCATCAGCAAGTATTAAGAGAGTTTCCTATTTCTGCCATTCTTGCAATAGTAATATTAAATGCTCTGAGCAGAGTCTACTGTAATAATAAACTTAATTTCATTATAAGAAGAAACACAAGGATTTTAGAACCCAAGCCAGTGAAATAGTTTTCCCCGTGTTTGCTGAGCTATCGAGGAGGATAGGTCCTCACAACTTCATGAGCGTGAGCCACGGGAACTCGGCACAGGGGCGGCCTGGACATTGCAGCTCAGACGCTGCAGCGGTCTGGCGGAGCTGGCTCTAAGCCTGTGTGTGAGCCCCAGGTCAGGGTTGGCCATAGGACCAAGATGTGAGTGGGTCTGTGTGAGGTAAATTGCAAGTGCTGTTCGCTTTAAAGTGAGACTATCTTTAGTCACATTACTGTTGCTCACAGTTTGAGGATTTCCCCCTCTCCCTAACTTTCCTGCTGCCTCCTTGGAATATGTTTAATAATGACAAACTCTGTCTCCCTTCATCTGAAAAAACCAGAGGTGGTGGTAAATCAAGTATAAGTTTCTCATCAGGCTATGCATTCTGTATTTAATTATTAATCAGTGCATAGTAAAATGACTTGTTTTTTGAAATGAGCTATTGGGCCACTTTTGAAGATACATGCCAAAGTAATGAAAAGGTTGAGCAGTAACAGCTAATAGAGTAACCGTCTTAATACAGTTCACATTGGTCAAGTGCATTGTGCTTTGATTGAGCCTGTGGACCCACAGTGGCTAGAATTCAATGTGTGAAGAAATGTAATACTAATTTGTTACGTATTGGATATTTAAATTCAGGACTTTCTGTTTTACCTACATATTTATCACTCCAAACGTGTTTTTCATAGGTAAATAAATATATGCAGAGAAGTTGAAGAAGTGAACTTGAGCCACTTTGGCATCACTGTACCTTCTAAAGAAACGTGGGTTCTTGGGAGCACCTAGCTGGGACAGCCAACTCAGTCCTGGAAAAAGTAGGTTAGAATTCTAGCCACATGTGGGAGCCAGATATATTAGAAGGAGCACAGCAGATAAAAAATATGAACTAGGACTGAGAATGGCAGGTAGAGAATAAAATAGCTGCAGAGCCATTAAAGGGGTGGGTGAAATTGGAAGTGCCCTTTGGAAGGATCACAGAGAATTAAGGAATAGATTGGAGGCTGGGAACCCGTGTAAGCAATTGTAGGATAGATCATTTGGGGTATATTTGAACATGGACAAAACCTGTGGGAGGGTGTTGGCTCATCCATTCATTAGTAAAAGGACTGGAATTTGCAGATTACGCCTTACTCTGACAAACTTGTGAAAAATATTGAAGTATCAACTTGCTAAAGGTGACAATCATGGTTGGATTTTAAGGGGAGTTGCAACTATGTATGTATCTCATCTGGAGGAAGTTGTAAGAAATTTCCTGTTAAGAAATTGAGCAGCTAGATGAAACTACATTTCATTTACCCTCAAAATTCTTCGCCAGTAACAGAATTCAGGTGTTTGTGTTTACATTTCTTTTGATGCCATTTAAAATTACTGATGGTTGCAACATGTTACTGTAGGTTGTAACTTCTAGCTAAGATGAAAGCTTTTGTCTCTGATGAAACAAATTGCCCATTAGTCTACTAAGTAATATGGATCAAACTTCAATGAAAAGCAAGAGCTTTATACCAGGTCATCTTGGCAAGCCGAGTGAATACCCTTAGAGTGATTGTGTACTAACAGTCCTTTGGTTTACAAGTTAAGCTTTTTCTTTTTGTCACTGTATTTTGGTACTAAAAACAAATTGCAAGTGGCTCCCCTTAACCATTTGAGAATATATTATAGATCTTGCCCCATTACACCTAATATTTCTGGTGTGGGTACTACAGTTGCCAAAATCAGAACATTTTAATATTGGCAGGTTTATAGTCTAGTCTGTTCAGTCTCATCAATTGACCTTGTGTTTTTCATAACATTTTTCTCCAAAGTCTGCCCAGGATCCAAAGTGAGGAGTCGGTATTGTGCCGTCATTGGTTCTGTGTGGCACTCTTTAATTTGTCTTTCATGACATCAGCGTTGTGTATAGAATGTTTTATTTCCCAGCTGTGTTCACTGAGGGCCTGTATTAACTGCAACAGCACTGAGTACACCCAGTACCCAGATCTTGATTTCTAAATCGTGAAAAGAACCACGCTCTTTGGAGACGTGTGGCTTTAGGGCTGGGGCACAGAAAAAAGTTAAACCTGGAACATTTTGTTGTGCCAGGAAGAAAGAAAATCTTAAAAAAAAAAAAAATGGGTGTATGTCGGGGGGGCATGGGAAGCACTTGGACGGTTCTAACTGCCAAATCTGTATCAAACATATTATCAAAATAGTGGTAGCAGCATGACTCCCGGAGAGCCCCCAAGTGAAGAGTGGGAGTGGGGAGAGCTCTTAGAATGTC